AGGTTCCTGCCCTGAGTTCCTACCTTGGGCTCCCAGATGAACTGTGACCCGGGATATGTAAGCTAAATAAACCCTTTCCTCCCCAAGTTGGTAGTGGTCAGACTATTTTGTCACAGCAATGAAGAACAAACTAGGACAGCTGAGTATAATAGTGAGGCCTGTCACCCCAGCTACTCAGGAGGCTGAAACAAGAAAATCGTAAATTCAAGGCCTGCCTAGATTTACAAAGCAAGTCCATGGTTAGTTTGGACAACTTATGGAGGCTCTGATCAAAAAGAGAAAGCAGGCTGGGCATGGTGCCACATGCCTTTAATCCCAGCACTCAAGAGGCAGAGGCAGGTAGATTTCTGTGAGTTCTAGACCAATCTGGTCTACTAGTGAGACCCTAGACCCTATAAAAAACAAAGTAAAATAAAAGTAAAAGTAAAAAGGCCTAGAGATACAGGAAGAGTGCTTGACTGCATGTGTGAGGCCCTGGTTCAGTTTCCAAAACTGTCCTCTCAAGGCTTTGCTTTGATTATTCTCCATCTGGAGATGCCACTGGCATGCCAGCCAGACACACCTGTGTGGACCCCCTCTCGTCTGTGTGCACATTGTAGATTTGGGGAGTAGGTTGGGGAAGAGGAGGAAAGGCTTCCTGTGCCATGAAGTCTCTGGGGCAGGAAAACAGGTCACTGAATGCACCTGGGGAGCGATTTCCACTGGAGAATACGGGGGACCGAGGAGTCCCCTGAGATAAGTGGATTGAGGTTCCCAGGGTACCCTCCTCTACCTGGTGGGCTTGCTAGGATATAAGGCAGAGCCCCACCTGCTGGGAAGCATGGATATAGGGTAGATAGTGCCTCACCCATTGCACAGTTCTTGCCCTCGTAGCCTGGGGTGCAGGTGCAGCTATAATTTCGGATGTGGTTCTGGCATGATCCATTGTTGAGGCAGGGCTGAGAGATGCATGGGGTGCCACCTATGGAAGCAAGAGGGCATCTGAACTTGCACTGTAGCCTCCCTGGGCCATGACCATCCAGGGCTTACTCCACCAGGGCAAAGGAGACCACTACCAGATACCTTCTGTCCTGCTGGATGCCACATGACCCCCTCCTATCTCTCACTGTGGCCATCATGTCACCCAGAGACTTGTGTCAAACCCCTTCTGCCTCTACTTCAGGTTGTCGTGACTGTCTGGGGCTGATAGCAGCTTTTCTACTCACTTCAAAGTGTCCTTGTCTTTTCATCATCCCATCCTGTGCTCCTACCCCATGTTCCCCATTCACTTTCACATCTCTTTCTGCTGATACCCACTCTATGCTCTTCCTGAGCATAGCCTACAGAGCAGACCCCAAGCCACAAGCATCTGAGTCAGAGCCAAAGCTCTTAAAAATCTGAGCTACTTTCTGACCTACAGCACAAGCCTTCCCAGGAGCCTGAGTCATGAGGTGGGAGGAGCTTCTGGGGAACCACCTGCCTGCTGCTTGACTCCCAGCTGCCTGGGAACCTTCAGACACCAGAATGATGAAGCCATAGGGGCTTCATGTGACCTTGCTGCTGGGACCTTGGGACTAGTGCCCTTTCCTGGCCAGACACCTGTTCCCTAGGGCCAGAGCCTTGTAATGTGGAGTCCATGGGCCCCAGTCTTGACTATCCTGAGACTCCTCTCAGAGCGGAAGAGGAACTCAAGCTGGAGAGCTGAGAGAGCACTCACCCCAGTACTGTCTCCAGAACTCATCCTGCCAAGGCAAAAAGTAGGAACGTTACAAGCAAGTCTTCCTTCCTGTCTTCCCTCCTGCAGATGGACTAGAGGGTAAGAAAATGCTGATTTTACTCACTCAGTAGGAGAATGTGGGATTCTTTTTATGTGTTTAACAGCCTGCTAATATTGAACATGTAATACATCCTCTGCTAGGTGACTCCCCATGCCTCACTGAGGACAGCGATAGTGTGGTGTGCACACAAACCCAAGGCCACAGCCTTCCAGTGTCCCTCCTTCCTGGCCTCTTCCCACCTCACTTTACAGAAGCACATGACAATTGTCCAAAATTCATACCTCTTTTTCAAAAAAGTAACCTGTTACAATTTTAAAGTTAATGGGAAGAGGTTGGGGAACATCCACCGTGAGGAGTTAGTAGACTTGCAGTTTGTCCCCAAACCACGCTTGGACTTCCTAATGACGTCACAAATGCATTTCCCTTTACCATGAAGTTGTAAAACTGAAATTTAGTATGGACTATTTAAAAATGTTCATTGTTTTTGCTAAATCACAGATGGGCTATTTCAAAAGAGTCCTCTACACATGGTCTTTAGGAAACTATAACTGAGGTTGGAGAGATGACTTAGTGGTTAAGAATATTTGCCATTCTTCCAGAGGACCTGGGTTTGATTCCCAGCACCCGCATGGTGGCTAACAACCATCCATAACTCCAGTTCCAGGGGATCTAATGCTGTCTTCTAATCTCTGTGGGCATTGCACAACATAGGTGCACTTACATACATTCAGGCAAAGTACTTCATACATATAAAATAAAAAAAATAAATAAAATATTTTTTAAAAGATACTACGTGCCAGGCGTGGTGGCACATGCCTTTAATCCCAGCACTTGGGAGGCAGAGGCAGGCAAATCTTTGTGAGTTTGAGGCCAGCCTGGTCTACATAGTGAGTTCCGGGACAGCTGGGGCTACAAGGAGACCCTCTATGAAAAAGACAAAAAAAAAAAAAAAAACCTATAAAAATATTTTAAAGTACTCTAGAGAAAAGGGCCAATGTTTTATTCACAACTAACTTTAAATATCACTTCATTTACATATAAAATTATTGAAATGCTGGGGATTGAACCAAGATCCTCACACGTGTTAGATAAGTACTCCACCACTGTGCCACACTCCAGCCTGGGAAATCTTCTTTGACTATCTGGCTACTATATTCTGAAGTATTTACATGAAAATATTCATTGTTCCTCAAATTTTGATTTCCTTTCTCTGTCTTTGATAAGCATATGAGTAATTAAAAATGGTAAATTCTGCCAGGCGTGGTGGCACATGCCTTTAATCCCAGCACTTGGGAGCCAGAAGCAGGCAGATCTCTGTGAGTTCAAGGCCAGCCTGGTCCACATAGTTCTAGGACAGCTGGGGCTACAGGGAGACCCTGTCTCAAAAAGACCTAAAAAAATGGTAAATTCTTACCTGTATTATTCACATAATTCTATGTGTGAGAAAATAATTTACTTAATCCAGAGTATGCATTGTGGGAAGTTGTCTTACTATGTACAAGGGAAGAGTTTTGTCCTCCCCAAATTCTCCTGACATACTAAAGCAGTCAAGTCTGATGAGATGGTTGTGGTCTGATGGGCAGGTCTTCCTGAGCTGGGTAGCCTGACCAGAAGGGAGTCTGGAGTTGGGTCATCACCTGTGATGAGGCCAGTCTCCTCCGACCCCGACCTCTAAGTTTTGCCTCTCATGTGTGAAGTCAGTTTCATACCAACCCTACCATGAGGAAATGACTAATTAATCCCATTTTCTGAGACAGCAGCCGCCTGAACAGTTATAAAGTTTATGGGCACTGTGGGGCTTACTCACAGTGCTAATGTCATTTTCAAATACTTCTCTTGCTTCCTCGTAGATGCAGATTTCTTCATAGCATTCCTTTTCCAAGTTTCCTTCAAAAAGCTCTTCCAGGAGATAGGAACGGGCACGCCTCCATCTCCCCAGAACGTTGTTTGCGTGTGAGGCTTGAAGAAACACTGCAGGGTGAGAAAGGGATGCAGTAATGTGAGTTCTGGCGGTTCCCTCCAGCATCTGGTGCTGGCTCTCAAATAGGGACCCAGCTATCAAATGCTGTTTCCTGCCACGAAGACAGGGCCTGGTCTGTGCCCATCTTCAATGTCAGCTATGGCCAGAGTCACTCCTATGGCCAGGCATGCACTTTTATTTTGTTGAGTGAGTAGATGGCCCTTGTGAATTGCAGGCAAACACACTGTCATTTTATGGAGAGAGGATCCAGGGCCAGAGAGGTCATGTCTCAGTCAACCACAGTAGACAAGTGTCCAAGTAGAAGTTTGAGGACATAAGACAAGTATCTCATCATTTGCTTCAACTTTATCTGTCTGTGGTCTTTTCCAATCTTGGTATTGCAAAAATACAAGTGAGGACAGCAACACACTAGTCAAGCGCTGCACAGCGAATAGAGAGCATTCACATCTGAGTATCAACAATAGGAACGTGGGGACTGAGCAGCCTCTCCACAGTAGGAAGGAGTTCTGACAGACACCTCCGGGGGTTTGCACCAGGGTGGGCTAAGGAACAGTAGAGAGGCTCTCCTAGGTCAAGCTCAGACCTGCAGGCTTTTCCTTCTTATCCATTCCCAGGATGGTACCGGACTCTGGTTACCTCCCATCCATGCTGCTACTCTCTGGGCAATGGCCTGTAAGGGAGGACAGTCCAGGAAGATGCACAGACTTTGGTATGGATGTGGCAGGAGGGCCACACACCAGAGACAGTGATGCCACCATGGGGCTTGGAAATGTAACCCCATTCAACAGGTGCATCTAGCTTATAGATATTCTCTACAAGTCTGCAGGCTGTCTGGACCCCTATTTGGCTGAAATCCAAGTATATGCGGATCGTGAGGATAGAACAGGCTCAATCTGGCAACAGGGATTTTCTGAGCATTTCCCACATGCTCAGGGCTTCAAGCAAGGACTGAAATTCAGCAGAGAGCCAGCAGACAGGAGCTTGCCAGTAGAGGCTCCATGACAGGGAGTTGGCACTGAGCAAACTGTTGTGTATACAGTGACAGTGGGGATGAAGAGTGTTCTGTGTGGATGGATAGAGTGTGGAAGTCAGAGAGAGCAAAGACTGGAGGCCTAGAATCACTGTTGGGGAGCCATGGGCTGCAGTAGGGGAGGGGAAAGGACAACAGTCATGAACAGACAGACGATGGGCCCTACAGGGATAGAGGGAAGCAGGGAATACTGAGGAAGGTTTAGATGCTCCGGGGTAGAAAGGGCCGTGTGGAGTGAAGCTCAGACCACTTGCCCTCTGCAGTCCTCTGGCACAGAACAAGAACTTTGACTTCCAGATGGACAGGCTCCAGCCTATCTGTGGCCCATGGGTGCCCATCCTGGGCTTGTCCTGCTTCCCTTATTCTCTCACTGCACTTCCTGTGTATCTTAGGCTGTCTTGGCCTGGCTTTGGGAACACCTGAGTCCCCCATCACTTTCAATACTTGTTATTACACAGCTTCAAGATCTACATTGCTTTTCAAGAGGGAGAGTGAGGCCGTGGTCCATGCCTCAGGGCCCTCAAAGACAGTGTCATCTGCAGAGCCACTAGAGCTGTACCAAGGATGAGGTAGTTGGACATGGTAGGTCACACCTCTAGTCTTAGCACATGGGAAGTGGAGGCAGGAGGACTGCCAAGAGTTGAAGGCTAGTTTGAACTACGTAGTAAGTTCCAGACCAGCTTGGGCTGTATAATGAGACCCTACCTCAAAAAAAATTTTTTTAAGGATGAAACAGCAAATGCCTACCTGACAGCTCCACCTGGTGCAGGGTAAGGATGACAATGAAGACAACAATGAAACCTCGCAGCAGCAAGACACAGCCGGCCATGTTCACCCAGAGTACAGCTGGCCCAGGCAGGACAAAGCTTCAAACAGCCAAAGTCCAAGGCCCCAGGAGGCATTGTGGCCAGTGTGTGCCTCAGAATACACAGAGAATGATACTAGGTAACCTGTGGACCTAGATATTGACAGTTTGAACAGGAGCTGAACTCCCTTATGTTCCCTCCCTGCATTTAGCAGCAGCCAAAGTGAGAGGAAGAGGTGAACATGGAGGGGAAAGTGACAGGGCCTCTGGCCCTTGTGCTGGCCTCTCTGGGAGGAAACAGGAGATTCCTTCAGGAGCCTCACTGGGTGATAGAGAGGCTATGGTGGGAGCTTCAGGCTCCAGACCCCATGTGGCTGTATACAGGTGTGCAGCTTTCCCAGCAAGGGGCCATCCTGGGTCTGGGTGGGTGGTGAGAAGGAAGGCCACCAACACAAGGCATGTGCAGTCTTGCAGGGGGGCGACACATAGAAGAGACAAAGGAGGGAATGAGACATGTCAAATCCCACAGTGAAGATGGGCAGGTGAGGCCTAGGTCAGGCCCAGGCAGGGTGAGGTATGATCTGAGATGTGTGTGAAAAGCCCAGGTAAAGTATCTGGAATCAGACTCACAAGAGACTGGAGTGGGAGGAGATGTAAGGTATATCACCAGCATTTGACTAGTTATATCTGTGAGGCTGGTCTGTGCATCTTTTACTGACCAAGCGATATTCACAAGGACAAAAATCTAAAGACAATGATAAATACAATTGTATTAAAGTAGGAAGTAAAGAAAACGAAGCAGCCAGAAGCCTTTGAGTGAGAGGGCAGCTGGGCAGACCAACCTTAATACATACATGCTTAAGTTTATTTAAAAAGTAGGGGGGCTGGAGAGATGGCTCAGCGGTTAAGAACATTGGTTGTCAGACTGGCTAGGATCAAGAGGACAAATGATACCAAATGCTGGCGAGGATGTGGAGAAAGGGGAACTCTCATTCACTGATGGTGGGATTACAAACTTGTGCAGCCTCTATGGAAAACAGTGTGGAGATCTCTTAAAAAACTAAAAATGAACCTACCATATGACCCGGTTATACCACTCCTTGGCA